AGAACGAAATACAACGACGTCTCGTGCGTTGATGGCCCTGTCGAATTACCTGCAAGTCGTCTGGACAAGGAAAAATCCACCTTACCAACGCCGTGGAAGTTTGCTCGTAGAGTTCATTCCTGTACTTCAACATTGCAGTGTGCTGGGACTGGGGCTTTATGACGCCAAGTGGCTTTGTCCAATCCATCACCACTAGAATCGTGTTGACGGTCGGTTGTCCGATCCAAAACCACAGTTGTTGAATAAGAAGCCCAGCCAGCTTCAGAGCGCTGCTCGACATTATTATAAAGGCGGTTATTCGCGAGATACCATGCAAGTTGTCCACGCAGTCGCTCCGGCCTCGCCTTGTATTTTTTCATTGTTCGCAGCTTTTGCTCTTCCGTTAGCGCACCAGCCATTGTAACTCCTATAATTCCTTGTGATACTATTTCGTTTGGTAACCAGTGAGCAGGTGTAGATGGATCGGCGCGAAAGTAGTAAATGTGAGAACGTAAAGTACTGTGTTTCCACAACGAACCACTTCCAAAAGCCGCGTAGGCTGAGCCAAATTCAGCATCGCATTTTCTGTTGCGGTTGTGTCGTGGTATCTTGACGGTAAAGCTCCAATGAAAAGTCCATTAGCAATTGAGAGCTTTGGGGAGCTTTTAAGCCTTTTCTGCAGTAGGGATGGACGGCATGCATTGCAAATCTGAAGACGAACAACTCCAGCCTTCTTTTCCATTCCACGTCGTGATAACAAGATTCCTTCGAACGGCTCATATAAGTCCTTCACATTGTAGTACGCACGAAGAGAGTCCGGAAGGTTCGCTGGGAATGGAGTTGCTTTATCATTGCATCCACTAGTACGGGCGAACGTGCGACAGACGTAACAGTAACTTCGGCTGCAATGTGCAGACAATCACATACGCTGCAGACTTGTTCTCCCATACTCTCGTTAGAGAGCCTTAGCGCGCATTCACTATGTACACGATTGAGAACTTCATGTGATATAGGGCCCATATCATCAGTTTGCCGAGAATTCCGATGCTTTCGCTCTCGGCGAGCTTGCCTCGCATTATTCAGCTCTGTTTCCAATGCAGCTCGGTACTTCTCTCTGGTCGTTTTCCTGTTGCGCTCAATGGTATTCTCCTTAGGCGACATGGTGCAAATCCGATCGAAAGAAACTTTGTGAATGAATCGAGCTGTTTTCATTAACCAATATTTCGAGAACTATTTAAACCAAATGTGATGTACAAAATTGTGCACACATAAGCATTTAGTTTGGCATTCAAAATTGACAGAAGTTTTACTTGCATTATCCCACCAGCTACCGTAGTCCCACTATGTACTTTTTCGCAGTTCCTAAGCTATTACGGTATACTCCTACTAGCTTCGTTTTCAATATGTCCTACTTTGTTATCACTACTTCTGCATCACCCCAGTTTTGCTTCGGGAGCTGCGCCATCATGGGTCGTTTTATGGAGCAGCACCGTTCTCCTGCACACCAAGTCCGATAAGGTGAGTATCGTCGATCACATCGATGTCTTCACGGTGGCAGGACCCGCACAGAACCCCGTTCCAGAGATCCACTTTCTCAATCGCGCGCAGTCGCAGGAGATTTCCAACCACGAAACGCGCATCGTCAAGGTTTCCGCTCCAAACCGTCACACGGAATGTAAATCGTTGCTGCGAAGCGTGTGTAAGCGTGTTCAGCGTCGACGAAGCCGTTCGAAAGTCCACGAGTGAGCAGGTTGAGATGGACGCCACGAGAGAAGGAGCATTTACCATTCAGACGGAAGACCCCACGAACAGTTCCCGCTCTCCCTACACGCTGCCGAATATCTGGAACAGAGATAATAGTTGTTTTTTCCTGCTCGCTCGCGCGAGCTTGCTACAGCTGTTGAATAAGTGACATGGATTTCGGAACCTTTAGTGAGTGGGAGACTTTAGTGGTAAAATAAACACAAGTCAATGTGCCCTTGGATCGTAAATCCACAATGAAAGTTACGACGAGTGACCACAACGAATACCAGCGACGTTGTGTTTGAGCATGTCACAATTGGGACGGTAACGTAAGACTTAACTGTGGAAAGTATGTTGGTTAACTAAATGAAAAAAAAGCAATAGGTGTAGGCAATATCTAAGGGGGTTGTATCTATAATAAAAGGAAGACAGCTTGAAGGGCGTTCGAGTGGGAAAGGTTGTGGCTGCGACGGTGGTGATTCTGGTCGTAATGATCACAAAAGGAAGAAAGCTTGTAGGGCGTTCGAGTGGGAAAGGTTGTGGTTGCGACGGTGGTGCTTTTGCCCTTGTGGGGTGTGGCAGTTGAAAAATACTGAGGCTGGTCGTCATGTCGCCCGTAGGTAGTAATTCGTTCCTGTATGATTATATCATTGTCAGAGTGCTGGTCGTCATGTCGCCCGTAAATGACTAAAACAACATGCATTGGATATTAATAACATATACACGGTGATTAATATTGACAAGTGATTTAAACCCTTCTATAATTTCCTTGCATATTAAATAATACAGTTTATATGTTCTCGTAGTGATTTGTACCTCCGGTTGTATACTCTGGATAAAACAAAAAAAGATGATATTAGAAGATGTCCTGCACACCGCTTCATGTGTTCCACATCAAATAAGGTTTTTCTTCGAGGTTATTTTGGGCTGATCCCAGCTCGGCAACCAAGAAAGCTCGACGGCGACCTCCTAGCTAAGCATGGCGGAGAAGGACGAGAAGGTGGGCGTGGGTCTGTCCTCCACGGGGCAGTTCGACCAGGATATCTACGGCTCCAGTCGTGATCGCTTCTCTGGCTACAGCGCGACAGTCACAGAAGAGGGAGACGAGGGTGATCATGAACAACGTGCAGATGACCATCACTCTCGAGCCAAGAAAACGCAGCCTAATGACGGGCTTATCGACGACAACTACGACCCGTTCGCCGAGGCACGGGAAGCCAATGGATCAGGACTCGTCAACACGCGCATCGTGGACCGCGAGAACGCGTACCGTAAGCGGCGTTTCGAGCGCATGTTGTCTCCCGAGCGCGGCGATGCCTTTGGGGACAAGACACCGGCACGCAGCTACAAGGAGATTATGCAGACGCAGCAACTGGAACAGGAACGCGCTGAAGTAGTGCGTAAGATCCAGCAGAAACGCGAAGAGCAGGAGCAACAGCAGACACAGAGCCAAGAGCTACAAGAAATGGACGCGACACCCAAGAGACGACGTAAGCGGATGCGTTGGGACCAGGAAGCCCCAGAGAAGACAGATGGAGAGAGTCAATCCGAGTGGGACACTGCCTCTGAGAGCTCGTCCAGCTCCCTGGCTGCTACACCCTCCCGTACGGCGTCAAGATGGGATGCCACACCTGTCTCGGGGTCTGCGGTGGGCGCTACACCCGGCAGGAAGAACCGCTGGGATGAAACACCAGTGGCAAACAGTGGATCGTCCAAATGGGACGCCACGCCTGTGAATCTGGGCGGTGTGACTCCTGCAGGGACAGGCAAGCGCTCACGGTGGGATGAGACCCCTGTCTCGGGTCCAAATGACATGGCTACACCTGGAAAAAGTGTACAGATGACACCCGGTGGGTCCTTGGCTGCAGACATCATGAGCGGAGCGCTGACACCGGAGCTAGCGCAGCGTCTGCGCTGGGAACGGGAGATCGAAGAGCGCAATCGACCCCTGGCGGATGAGGAGCTGGACGCACTGTTCCCTGCTACAGGATACAAGATTCTGGACCCTCCTGCATCGTATGTGCCTATTCGCACGCCGTCACGGAAGCTGCTTGCCACTCCGACGCCGATGGGACAGACGCCAGGCTTCGCGATGCAAGCTACACCCGCGCGTGAAGACTACGGCGTGCCTGTCGGTACCCCGTCGGGTGGTGATGGCACCATGCCGTTTATTAAGCCAGAAGACTACCAGTACTTTGGCAAATTGATGGACGAGGTCGATGAAGAAAACTTGGACCCTGAGGCTGCCAAGGAGCGCAAGATCATGCGCTTGTTGCTCAAGATTAAGAACGGTACGCCGCCGCAACGTAAAACTGCGCTGCGTCAGCTTACAGACAAGGCGCGTGAGTTTGGTGCTGGAGCGTTGTTCAACCAGATCTTGCCGTTGCTTATGGCTCCCACACTGGAGGACCAGGAGCGTCACTTGCTGGTCAAAGTAATTGACCGCGTGCTGTACAAGCTTGACGACCTGGTTCGTCCGTACGTTCACAAGATCTTGGTGGTGATTGAGCCTCTACTGATTGACGAAGACTACTACGCGCGTGTGGAAGGCCGTGAGATCATCTCGAACCTTGCGAAGGCTGCCGGACTGGCGACGATGATTTCCACGATGCGTCCGGATATCGATATCGACGACGAGTATGTCCGTAACACGACGGCACGTGCCTTTGCCGTGGTGGCCTCAGCGCTGGGTATTCCTGCCTTGCTGCCGTTCTTGAAGGCGGTTTGCCAGTCGCGAAAGTCGTGGCAAGCTCGACACACGGGTATCAAGATCGTGCAACAGGTTGCGATCCTTATGGGCTGCGCTGTACTGCCGCATCTTAAGCACCTCGTAGAGATCATCGAGCACGGTCTTGAAGACGACCAAAAGGTGCGTACTATCACTGCTCTGGCTCTGGCTGCACTCGCTGAAGCTGCGCATCCGTACGGCATTGAGTCGTTTGACTCGGTGTTGCGTCCGCTGTGGCGTGGTACGAGAAAGCATCATGGCAAGGGGTTGGCGGCGTTTCTGAAGGCCATTGGCTTCATTATCCCCCTCATGGATGCACAGTATGCGAACTATTACACGGTGGAAGTGATGGAGATCTTGATTCGTGAATTCCAGTCGCCTGATGAAGAAATGAAGAAGATTGTGCTGAAGGTGGTGAAGCAATGTGTCTCTACTGACGGCGTGGAAGCTTCGTACGTCAAGGAAAAGATTTTGCCGGAGTTTTTCCGACACTTCTGGGTTCGACGTATGGCGCTGGACCGACGCAACTATCGGCAGCTAGTGGAGACGACGGTGGAGCTTGCGAATAACGTGGGAGCGAGCGAGATTATCTCGCGAGTGGTGGATGACCTCAAGGATGAGAGTGAACCGTACCGCCGCATGGTCATGGAAGCGATCCAGAAGATTATCTCGAATTTGGGCGCTACGGATATCGGGACGGATCTCGAAGAGAAGCTGATTGACGGCATCCTGTATGCCTTCCAGGAGCAAACGTCCGACGATACGTTTGTCATGCTGAATGGCTTTGGCATTGTCGTGAACGCGCTTGGAATCCGCGCGAAGAACTACTTGCCGCAGATTTGCGGTACCATCAAGTGGCGGCTGAATAACAAACCGGCGAAGGTTCGCATGCAAGCGGCTGACCTGATTAACCGGATTGCCGTGGTCATGAAGACGTGCGATCAGGAGCCGTTGATGGGACACATGGGTGTTGTGCTGTACGAGTATCTTGGAGAAGAGTACCCGGAGGTGCTGGGTAGCATTCTGGGAGCGCTCAAAGCTATTGTCAATGTGATCGGGATGAGTAAAATGACCCCGCCGATCAAGGATCTGCTGCCTCGACTTACTCCGATCCTTAAAAATCGCCACGAGAAGGTTCAAGAGAACTGTATCGACCTCGTTGGACGTATTGCCGACCGTGGCGCGGACTTGGTATCAGCTCGAGAGTGGATGCGCATCTGTTTCGAACTCCTGGATATGCTTAAAGCCCACAAGAAAGGCATCCGTCGTGCTGCTGTCAACACGTTTGGATACATTGCCAAGGCGATTGGTCCTCAGGACGTGCTGCACACTTTGCTGAATAATTTGAAGGTCCAAGAACGACAGAATCGTGTGTGTACTACTGTAGCCATTGCTATTGTGGCCGAGACGTGCTCGCCGTTCACCGTGGTGCCAGCTCTTATGAACGAATACCGTGTGCCAGAGCTGAATGTGCAGAACGGTGTGCTAAAGGCGTTCTCGTTCATGTTCGAGTACATTGGAGAGATGGGCAAGGACTACATTTACGCGGTGGCTCCGCTACTGCAGGACGCGCTGATGGACCGCGACTTGGTGCATCGTCAAACGGCGTGCACGACGGTCAAGCATTTGGCGCTGGGTGTTGCTGGTTTGGGTTGCGAGGATGCGCTGGTGCACCTGCTCAACTTTGTGTGGCCGAACATTTTTGAAACGTCTCCGCACGTGATCAACGCGGTGTTTGAGGCCGTGGAAGGCTGTCGCGTGGCGTTGGGTCCGCACGTGATCCTGCAGTATGTTCTACAGGGCCTGTTCCACCCGGCGCGCCGCGTGCGTGAAGTCTACTGGAAGATCTACAACTCGCTGTACATGTACGCTCAGGACGGACTGACACCCGCCTACCCGGTCCTGGAGGACGACGGCGTAAACTCGTACAACCGCACCTACCTGGAGCTTTGCATTTAGGCTGCATTAGTCTATCCACATGTAATTTGCCAAGCGAGATATATCCGATGGCTGGTGCCACACAGATGATCTTCTGGTGGATGGGAACGAGATCTAAGTATAATAGCTTTGTCATCGTGCAGTAAAAACTACCAGGCAAATATATTCGCGAACGTTTGGCTGCTGTACAGTTGCATTACATTTTTTGTTGTTGAGTTTTTGGCAACACTCATTTTAAGAACTCTGGCGTTGGCATTCTAGTACAGTTTGGAACACCATAGAAGTGTCCATTATAATAGTGCGGATACCTATTGTAGGCGACATTGAACATTGGGCCAGAATCTAGAGAGGCATAAGAGGTCTACATTTAGGAAAACCTAGATCGACATTTAGATATAGGGTGCAATCATGCGTTTAGATTTCGATTTTGTGGTAATTTTTAGCCAATTCCCAGCCGTTTTGGAGCTACAGTCGTTTAAAAATGCCTTCTCAGAACACTGTCATTTTCGGGCACAGATATGATTGGTCTAGAATCAAAATCCTATGTCAAAAAGGAAGACGACACATCGCCCGGTCGCAGATTGCTCTTGTCGATTTAACATTCAATTCTGCCAGCAGGATGGTGAAAAAATTATAAAGGTATTGTACATGGATTTTGTTTTGTTTTTATCATCTGTACTGTTCTAATTCCTTCTGAAGAGCGACGAACTGGTCCTCGATCTTCTGCACGTGTCGAAATAGAGCGAGCCAGTCAGCTGGTGTAATTTTGGCTAGACCACACAGTACCTTCTTCTGCCGCAATCCTATTCTTCAACAAGCCCCAAATAAGTTCGATCGGCTGCAAAGTTGGATGATAAGGCGACTGGGCTTTGTACAAATTTTAGTAAAAAAGGAAATGTTACAATATCAGTTATAATTGATATACCTCAAAATCATTGTCTGGGCTATTCTTTTTCTCATTAACCACGGAGTCAACGGTGTTGGGAGCACAACCAAGGCAATCAGAGACCAGTTGGCGTGTCCTGATGCCTTTGAAGAGGCCTTGTTCCTTCTGGCTTTTGAAATACTCGTAGCTGTTCACAATCATCCGCTTCTCTCTTGGGCAGAACTCGTGCTTGCCGGACATTTTCGTTGACCTTAAATGATGCTTCTGGCTAATTGATGAGTTCTACCGCCCTCTCAAGACACTAAGTGATATATAGCACTTTTATTTATATCAAACAGACAGTTATTAGACTTTTTACAGTCTGTTATAGTATGGTTTACAATTTCTGGCCCAATGTTCAATGTCGCCTACAATCTTCAACTTGCCCGCGAATCAGTGTGCCATCTGATTCCATAGCCAACCATCTGCTTCCACGAATATGCCGTCTTTACAAATACCAACATTCGCACTCTACGGCAACAGAGTCAGTTGCGAATTCGCCGCCTCCACCCCACGTCATCGCCGACGTCCCCGAACCAGTGCCTCTTCCTCTCCATGCTGCGCTGTCTGGTCCTACTGCTGCTATCGCCGCTGACTTTGGCTGTTCAGCCGCGCGATTTCCGCGTGCCGCCCGTGGATTTCACGCAACTCTCGAGTGCCACAAACAATGCGCACAACTTCGACTTGCTTGCCAAACTTCAGGAAAATGGCATCATCGCATTGCAAAACGTACCCAATTTTGCCACTCTGCGACACGAATATCTTCGCACTGCGGCAACTTGTGCCGTGCAAGCCCAGAAGAAAGGGGCCGAGTTTCTCCTGCATCGGCAACTGAGGGACAACACCAACCGTTATACTGTCAGTCTTGAGTCTGGCCGGCAACTGATGGAATCTTTGGACCAAAGTGCCGAACTGTTGGCAATTTGCCCCGAGTACGTTGAAATTCACGCCGCTTTCAGCTCGGCAGTCGAATTGGCGGTTGCCAATGTGGGAACCGCTCTCGACGCCACGCAAAAGTTCCACGTCACAGCCGAAAAGGGAGCTGTGACCATGACGGCACGTAAACTACTGGAAGAATCTGTTCACCTGGACCATTTCCACGCCTACGAAGCTGCTCAGGACATGCGTAGACTGGAAACAGATTCGGAAATTAACGTTTCCGACATGTCACTGGAGTTGCATACCGACAATGGCCTCATGATTGCCATGAGTGCACCCGAGTATTTCGAAGTGTCAAGCACTGGCGAGTTGCAACTTAAAAACACCCAAGGTGAAGATGCGGGTCTATTTATCCAGTCGGCGAATGGACAAATCGTTCGCCCCGTGTTGCAAGGGGATGAGCTCATTTTGATGCTGGGATCTGGAGTTAACGACTGGATTAAAACCACCCCACCCCTCCACTCGGTGTTGCATGGTATGCGCTACCCACGAACCGTCGCTCTCGTCGATGGAGATGGGCAAGGCAAAAAGTTGCTTCGTTCGTGGTTTGGCAAAATGATTTTGCTGGAGTCGCACCAGGTGATGGATAACACTGGCCTCACGTTCGGCCAGTACGCAAACCAGACTACTCGATATCTGGTACAACAAGAAGCTGAAGACCACCAAGCGTTTGGTGCTGTTGCATGTCCTCCGCAACGTCATTTGGCTGCATCAGACAGCAGTTGCTCGGTCAAAACCTGTACGCTAAAAAGCACTTCTTCCGAGTCAGATCTCAAGGATTCGTGCCAGATCACATGCAACCACGACTCGGCCAGTGACGCCACATTATGTGAGCAACATTGCGACTGTGAAGACGCAACCAAGAGCGGCACTACCTGCTGGATGTTGTGTGTCGAGAATTTCTCGTCGGACGTGTGTCCTGGAGACCAGCAATGCAACAACGCCGCGTCGAAAGATAAACTAGCCGTGACGTGTGTTGGTGGGACATCCGCTCCTTCCACGTCTTCACCTTCGACTACAGCTCCCACTAGCACGACAGCACCAGCCACTACCTCTCCAAGCACAATGACAGCGCCTAGCACCACAGCCGCGTCTTCTACTGCCGGTACGTCGACTGAAGCTCCAGCTACTACTCAACCTGCAACTACTGAGCCAACTACTACAGTGCCAGTAACTACGGAGCCAGTGGCAATTACAAGTCCGATTACGGGCTCTAACTCTGTGTCGTCTGCTGCAAATGCAGGTTCTGCTGCAGCGTCGACGAATGTTGGGGACGAGTCTACGGCGGCTTCAGCCTCGAGCGGAACGTCTGCTACCGCAGCCTCAAATGCGGATGACGTTTCGTCTGCTTCTGCGTCGGCGTCAGCATCAGCGTCTTCGGCGTCGTCGTCACCTGCGAGTGTCATCCCTGGTGCTGTCTTGGTGAACGGAGTTGCTGTGCTGGTGACATTGTTCTTGTGCATTCAGTAAGAATTCGGCAGCAACGATTTTTGTGTCTTTACTTTGGTAGTCGCTCAAATATCGAATGCATTTGCCGGTGTCGAATTTTCTGTACTAATCCTGTCCTAACTGTCCTACAAAATCCTAAAATACGTAGTAAATTACTGGCATAGATTGCAAAATGTATCCTAAAAAGGTTCTAAATCCGGAAAAATATTGCAATCCTAATACTGTCCAAAATTAAAAACCGGTATTTTAGTCGGAAATTTAGGACATATCATAAAACCTATTTTGAGTCAAAGTTGGGATTGAGGTTTTTAAAAGTTAACGGGAACCAACTAGTTCAAGACTGGTATTTCTGTTAGTTTGTGTCGTGTCTTGTCTCCGACTGGGACAAGAGCCTAGAAAGAAAGAATAGAAAATAAAGGGCAACTTCAACTCAAGCTGCAATGGCGGTCAGCATAGGCCGACGCCCTTGTCACTCGCCCCCATGCTGACTGCTCATTAGCACGGAAACACTCGACGAATGTTCACTCGCTGCTGCGTTGGTCCTTGGTCCAGGGTAATAGTGCCATTGTCGTGCACCGCAACGATGGTGAATGGCCCGTTAGCCACATTCCGGTGTTTGTTCTTTCTGTCTTTGGCTGGAATGCGAACAATCACGTGGTCGCCTACTTGGTAGAAGTGCTGTAGTCTGGTAGAGTTTGCACGGTCATTCTCTTGTAGAATAGCATCAAAGCGTTTCTTGCACAAGTAGTTCCAATTTGCTTCATAAAGCTTGCGAGTAATCAGATCTTGCCCAAATATCATGTTTGCAGGAGTAGTTCCCAGAATAGTGTGGTAGCTTGCGGCGCAACAATGTGAGCATGATAAATCGGACTAATAACCCGCTGGAGAAGTACAATCGCGATTTTGCTGCTCGCATTGGTGCGCCACATCCAAGTATTCTCGTCTTCATTGAAGCTGCAAAGGCAGAGGCACATTCCTACATAAAATTGCTGGACGACATCAAGCATGGTCGACAGAGCGCTCCTGCTCATGCGCGGTCTGTGGACGTTGAAGTCCCCGGGGAATACATGGCGTTTGAGTAGCATTCTGCATTCTGTAAGCCATAAGATATCTCTCGTTGGCATGGGTAGTGTAGCCTTACAACTTTCGTATTTGTCCTAACTGTCCTAACTGTCCTAACGATCCTATAACCCATGCCGAAGTTTTGTGCCAATACCGTAATTTATGACAGTAGGTATTAGGACAAGTTAGGACGTTTAGGACGCTTTTAGTACGGAAAAACTTCTTCCCATTTGCCTTGTTTTTTTTTTTCTCTTTTTGAATTTGTTTTGTTTGGCAACTTTTTTTTGCAACCGTTTGTAGATTCAGAAGGCAAACGTCGAAGGTGTGAAAATCTACCGATAACAGCGTGATTTCTAGTCGTTGCAAAGAAGAAGTTGCTAAGAGAGAGTTTTTACAACCCCGCGATTTGGCAAGTTTTCTGGTTTTGTTGAAGCCTTCGAAACTCATACAGCTACACGTACCTGTAGGTGGAAAAGCAAAAAGTAAAAAGCGTTTCCAGAGTAACACACAAAACCAACATGTAAATTTAATAAGAGCTTAAATCCTGGCTAAAACTCCTGTCAACGCTTCTATACTAACTGTACAAAAGGCTCGTATACTTGCTGACAATTTTACGATGTCGGACAGGCTGAGCAAGTAAAAGTAGGGCTGAATCAATCATTACCATTGTGTGAGGCCCATCGATTGGCGTTGGACTCTGTACGGGCAGGCGTTGATTCGGGCGCTGCACTGTATACAGCTTGAAGAATGCGCTTTCAAGACTGTCTGCCACCGCGACGCAGAGAATATAGTTAACACCTGGGATCGTAGCGCATTTATTTGCCTTCCAGTCGAGTTGGCCACGCTCATAACCCATTGACGCAAATGGCCGATTTCTACTTTAAGAGTCTGCCACTCACACCAGCGCAACCCACCCGGTAGAATAGCCCCTTATTGAGGAGTTGGGCCATAACTCGGATCGCTTTTGTAGAGCCGAAATCGGACTGGTGTGGGACTTTCCCGTGGGGTAACATGTACCCAGTGAAGGCATTGGAGAATTGCTGCGGAGGAAATGGGCACCAAGCTTGGCAACAAAGCCTCCGCGTTCGTGCGACGTCGGTAGCTCCACGGTTACGGCTTTCTTGTCGACCCTTTCCATTTACCTCGCTTAGCCTTCGGCCTTTCGCTCTTCATGATATACACCACAGTTATCCTCATTTGTATCACACACTTCATACACTTGATCTGGCGGAGTCAGGCCGACTCGGTTCTAATCGAGAGCAGCAAACTTTTCGATGATCTCGTCCAGTGCCATGTTCGTACAACACACTAGGGCGAAGCGAAGGCTGGGATAGTTAAAAAAAAAACGAAAATGTATTGTTTTCTTAGGCCGTGTTCGGTTTGCAGGGGCAAATCCAGCTTGTTCGAAAATAAGCTAGAGCTGTAGTTGTTAAGTAAAATAGAGATAAAATAAGTGATCGTGTTCCATCAGAAAAAAGCTGGATTTGAAGGAGCAAAGCAGGACGATTCAAAACTCAACCCAGAGCTAAATTTTGAAACCAGTCGTTTGCTGCTGGATGTCATTTTTTGTGTTTCTTAGCGGAATAAAGCTGGTTGAGACATTCCAGCTCTTTAATACCAATTACAGCTTAAATCGAACACGGCCTTACTTTTTTTTTATAAAAAAATGCAAAATTGTCGTGTACGAAACGCTAAGTTTAAAGCCCGGAAAGAGGTGAGAACGTATGGGATGGCGTTAAACCACCGTACCAATTAATGAGTAGGTCGGCGCGATCGATCGCAGGTTCGTGTAGAATCTCCGATGCAGGACCAGCTGAAACATACCGGAGTTTGTTGTACGTAGAGTGTCTACCACTATAATTTCCTCTTCTCGAAAAACACTATTGATTCCACTTAAAACAGCCAACCACTTGAAGACTTTATCCACCTCGATCGTATATACTGCAGAGAATTTTTTCCGCTGAACTCGCCATAATTCACGAGGCCCGATGAATGTAACTCGAGGCATACCTGTTAAATCCACCTTCGGTAATTCACGAGCTAGCTCGAACGGAGCGTTCGTTGGGAAGCAAATGGCGTGACCTCTTGAATGTTTTCCTGACCGCGATATTTCGAGTCCAAAACATCTAGCGGGCGAAATACACCACAAAGAGGCGTCATTTAGAGAGAGCAGCCTTCCGCAACGACCATAATCTTGACCTGCAGCGACACTAAACTCATTTTCACGCGGGTTGGCATGACATCTTTTGCAAAGTGGTATTCTTTCGTGGTCTCGTACGAGCTCAGAAAATCAAATAGTAAATTTTATCTCCAAAATAGTAAAGTTGTCTATAGGAACGCATGACTGGTTCGGGTATTTCTTCAAACAATCGTTTTTTTTCCTGTTCGGAAAGTAAAACAGTATCTAGCTGCGAAAGCCCGACAAAGAACATCTTGTCAGAATCAGTGTGAAGCAGTATTCGCCCACAGGCCGCGCAAGCCCAAACCGAAGTCGCTTCAGCGGCCTTCGCCGCCACCAATCGCTGGCATTCGGCGATGCCTGCCGCCTTTGGACAATCATCGAACATCAATGAAATCCGCTCTCGAGTGGTCTGTCCTTCGTCATCACACAGCGTTTCGTCTCCATACACGAAAGACCCAGGATCGACACCACAACAATAATAATAAGCCAAAGCCAAACGCGGGTCCTTCAAATACCGTTGCCCTTTAGCCAACCATTGGATATCGTCGTTAGTCAGCGAAGACACAGTGAGTATTCCCTCACTAAGTTCACGCACCAAATCACCCTCTACCTCTCGTCGCCGATTACATAACTCCTGGCGCACTTGCCTCTCTTGCTCGGCTTGCTCTTCTGCGTCGAGCGGTTCCTGAAGTCGTTGCGCACGCCGTACTTGCTGCTGATGTCTTCATCTCGCTCGCAAAGTACTCGCTGTAGTTGATTCTTCAACAGCAGCGCGAGACTCGCGTTGCAGGATACGTCGCAAGCGTTGCTGAGTGTTTCTTCTTATCCGTACTTCTTTGGTCCTTGTAGCTACTGATTGCTCCTGAGTAGCAGCGGGGGTTTCACGCTGGCGCGCGCGTCTGACGCGTTGCTGAGCACATCGTCTCGCCCTTCATTCTTCAGCACGCTCGCCTTCCATCGTCCGATTTCTTTGGGAAATGAACCTATACACGACTGCATCTTCGTCACCGGATTGAACTGATACTTAAAGACTTACGCCCTAACGCACGCGCGCGATCGATTGAAAGAGACTAGTGCAGAATTCCGCTGCTTAAAGATTGGTCAATACACGCAGTAAATTAATTGTGACGAATACAGTGAAGGCCTAATCACGTACCGGCGAATCACGCTGCTCCGATCCAGCATTGGCTTCGCACTATTTGCTGCAATAATAGCAGTAACAATTGAGTTCTCGCACTTAACTGATCGTAGCCGCATAGCGACGCTAAACTCATTTTCACGCGGGTTGGCATGACATCTTTTGCAAAGTGGTATTATTTTGTGGTCTCGTACGAGCTCAGGAAGCAAATAGTAAATTTTATTTCCAAATAGTATGCGTACACCTACGGCGACATCAAGCTTTGGTTCTTGTACGGGTGAAAAAAAAACAGCATTCGACAATTTAAGCCTGCAAAAAACTCCATCTCGCCATATTGGCATTCCACATACTTCCCTGTTTGCGTGGGAACGGAAACGCAGGCGACATGTACACATTCGTATGCATCCCTTGCTTTGCCACTCGATGGCGACACGTGAAAGAATTCATCTCGGCCTTTTCTCCACGTTGGGATATTCTTCACGTCAATCGAATTGCCAGTTTTCTGATAATCGACCATTTGGAGCCTGTAATATCCTCGCCGGAAACACAAATACGTTCGCAATTCCTCTGCAACAGCAAGAGGAAAAACACACATCTTAGTACTTGTGTAGACATAGCATTTCTACTACTACTACTACTACAGCTTACGGCCTCCGTCGTCCGAGCTCAGCAGTACAGCGTGCTGCTGCTGCAGATGCCGCCGCATGTCAGGGCGCCAGGGTAAAGCTGATGACCTCGAAGCTCAAGCTGTGCTGCACCTGGTCTAGTCCGTTCTTTGTTCTCGCTCAAATCGAACAGTTACCCGGCTAACCGGACAGTTACCGGCTTTAGTCTATCGGCTTCAGTTACCGGCTTCAGTTACCGCGACGAATTAATCCGATTTGGGCTGGCTAGCCTTCCAGACTATCCCAGTAAAAACATAAAATAAAAGACTTGCGACGGGGCTTCAAATTTTTCGGAATTCTATCCTAAATAATAGTGAAATCATTGATGAGAAAAAGTCGTTATTCCATAGCTGGAAAGTGGCAAATGATTTTCTTAAAGAGCTGTTTTGCTTACAGTTAATATCTAGCAGATAGACGGCAACCGAGGAGCATATTACCGGTATCACTGTCGGAATGTCCACGATTGACGACGCGCTTACGTTCAAACTTCGTTTAGTAGAGACTCACTATAGAAGTATTACATAAGAACACCGAGTGAAATAATTACTTCTCCGGTCCAGAAAATAATTAACAATTAGGTTTTCTTTAAAAACCCTCGCACGTGTGATTGGTCAATGTCCATTCTGAGATGGGTACG